AAATTAAATTTTAATAGCCATGTAATAACAATGGCAAATAAAGCAAATGGTGTTTTAGGTTTTGTTAAACGGTGGGCCAAAGAATTTTCTGATCCATATATAACAAAACAGTTATTTACGTCTCTTGTTAGACCTATATTGGAATATGGTTCTATTGTATGGGATCCTCAATATGCAATATACTCAGATAAAATAGAATCCGTGCAAAAACAATTTCTGCTATTTGCCTTACGAGGTTTCCATTGGAATAGTGATTTTGTTTTGCCTTCTTATGCTAGCAGGCTAAAATTAATTAGATTGCCTACACTTAAAAGCAGACGTATTATGTTGAACTCCATGTTAGTACTAAAAATATTAAATGGTAATATACCTTCAGATTTCCTAATCTCATCTATTAGAATTAATGTTCCGTTTAGATCTAGTAGATACTACCAATTATTATATACTGATTTTCACCGCACGAATTATTCAATGGGCGAACCTCTTAGTAAAATGTGTTGATATTTAATTCTGTGTATTGTAATGTAGATTTTTGTATGAGTTTAGAAGTTATTAAATGTAGAATAATTTTATTTTTAAACAATTAAGATACATGTTTTATTATTTGACAAACTAGCTGATGAATTAGATTCTGTAGCTGGTTTTCAATTTCCTACTGAATTCTCATTATGATGCGGATCATGATGTGTACGCGATCCCTCCGTAAAGGGAGGTCGCCCCCTCGGTCGACAGGGGTGGGAATGTGAGGCGTGGGAACGTTCGAAAAAAAACCGACAACACCTCAACCGCCTCTTCAGAGGCACAGACATAGGACATGGCTACGGACAAGATTTTAATCGCAGTTGGGGACGAGACTCTGCAGACGTACCGAGACGTGGTATGCGAATGCATACAGAGACATAGTGAACAGCTGTCCGTCCTTCTCGAGAAGACAGGAGAGTGTACCATCTGGATAAGAATCATCCGCAACTGCCAAAATGTTCCCTTGAGAAGGAACTTGCCTCTCTCTTTACAGACCTCGTAAAGAAGATGAGTCCAGCTGAGGGTAAACCTTCGAACGAGGCTGGGGTGGAATGCTGCAACATTCCTGATGATGGAAAAACAGTTTCGACTGTTGCACCATCGACGGAATTATGCGCTGTTCCCACCGTAACAAACACATGAAAGCGGAAGAAAAAGAACAAGAAGAACACCGGCGGAAAAAATGGCCCGGTGGTCCCAAAGGAGACCAAACCTTCCTCTCGTTTAACGATGAAGAGCGGACGGTCAACGGAGGAACCGCACCCCGAGGAAAGGAAATCGTCAACGGGTGAACCTCCTCCTTCGCCAACTGCGTCATCTACACCTTTAGTTGACAAGAAGGTAGTGGCTAGGCCGGTTCAGGCAGCCTCTGTTGACCCTAGGTCTGCTAAGTCCAAATCTGTTACCACCAATCCTCACCCTACGATTCAGAGTAGTAGAAAAAGGAAACATTCCCAAGCCACTTACCCGGACAATCTCCGTGTAGCGACCGAGCTGAGCCGGAAGACAAAATCAGTGAAAGACGGTGGGCACTCATTGAAGACCGCCTGAGGGAGTTGGTTTTCCTAGGGGAAGATCCAAGAAGGCTACAATTCGGCAGTGCTACCCTCCATAAAGGAGTGAATGTCATCTGCTGCGAAAACGAGGAGTCCAAAAACTTCCTCGTACCCGCAGTTGCTGGCTTTCACGGGCTCTGGGATGAAAGTGCTCTTGCCGCTGTATCCCTAAAGGAAATTCCCTGTAGGAATATATTGATAGCATGGGTACCACCACCTTCGGTGGATCAGAGACGCGTGTTGACAATATTGGGAAAACAGAATCCCAACCTCAGTACGGACAGCTGGTGTTTAGTCGGCTCAAGCACGGAGGGAGGAGGCCTGGCCGTCAAGGTATTGATACAGCTGGCCAGGAATACCTTCAGCGCGTGGGGGGAAGCTGCACTTTGGCACAGGATGGATTCGGTTCCGTCTAACCTCACCGTCGCAGTAGGAGGAAGGAAGCCGGAGCTGCTCAACGTCATGCAGATTAATCTGCGCCACTGCAAGACAGCCGCGGCTGAGCTTCTACTGTCCCTCACCAAGTTTGAAGTAGATATAGCCCTGGTCCAGGAACCTTATATAGTTAAAAGGGTTTGCCACCTCCAACGGAGAAAAGGTTAGAACGTGTATCGTCGATAAAAATAACTTAAATTTAATCTTCCTCAATAATTTCAGCGGGGGAGACCCCACGGCGATCTGGTTGGAGTCACGAGCAGGAACAGTACTCTTTTTGTATCCATGTACCTACCCTTGGAGTACCCCGGCCCGCCGTGCCAAGTAGTAGAGAAGCTGTTCACTGTAGTGTGAAGCAGAAGCAATCTCGTCGTTGGATATGATGCTAACACTCACTATTTTCAATGGGGCAGTAAGGATACGAACGCAAGAGGTGAGTCCATTTTTGATTTTATTTTAACAAATAACCTCAAAATATGTAATAGGGTAAATGAGGCTACTTTCCAAAATAAGAATAGGGAGGAGGTCATTGATCTCACCCTTACTAACATGGATGAGTCACTCATACTGAGTTGGAAAGCTTCCACCGAGTGTTCCTTTTCGGATCACCGGAAGATAACATTCCAGTTATCAGTAGAGGGATTGCAAAAACCGCATAGGAACCCGAAAAAGGCCCGATGGGACAAATTTGCGGAGCACACTGCATGGAAGCTGAGATCTACTGGTAATCTCCCAGTAGACTCCGCCTCAGATGTGGACGAGTCCGTCAAATTGTTAAAAAAAAACCTGATTGGGAGATATAAAAGAGGTTGTCCGCTTACATTCCCCGGCAAAAGGTGCGAACCTCTCTGGTGGCCGAAAGACCTAGCCCAGCTCAGAAAGACAAGCAGACGCTTTTATAATAATTGGATTGATGTTATGCTCAGTAGCAGAATCATCAACTCAAGCATCGGGCAGTGTTCTGTTAGGAAAACGGTCACTAGGGGCATCACTAATCTGGCTTTTGGCGATAAATGAAATTCTTATCGAACAAAGGTCGTGGCTTACGTCGACGATGTGGTCTTGTTGATTGCTGGGAAATTCCCGCAAACTGTTTCAGATCTTATGCAGAGAGCTCTAGTTAAACTCTCCAGATAGGCACGCTGCAATGGATTTGGCATAAACCCATCTAAAACTGAGTTCGTACTCTCTACAATATCCCAGACTTTTCCAATACTACCAATACTTGATAATGTTATGCTAAGCCTTTCTTCGGAAGCCAAATATCTCGGTACCGCCCTAGACTAAAAACTAAGCTGGAAGAGGAACATTGAGGAGCGAGCGAAGAAGGGCTTAATTGCACTTTATTCCCTTAAAAACTCCATAGGAAAAAGCTGGAGACTCAAACCTCACATAATCAAATGGTTATATGAGTCAATCGTACGACCAATTCTAACCTATGGAGGGCTTGTTTGGTGGCACTCCTTAGGGAAAACTACCTTCAGTAAAAGCATTGATTTAGTCCAAAGAGGTACATCGTTTCTAATTACAAACGCGTTTATGAGCACACCCAATCCGCCCTATATACCCTACTCAACTTAAACCGATAGGTTTATTTGTAGAGGAACAAGCAGCTGGGTGTGCCTTGCGACTCAGTGAACTGGGATAATGGCGTCATTTTCAAGTATGTGGGGAGCATTGGAAATCAGGCGATTATAGGATTGAACTACTTGATATCCATATACCTAACATAGACATCTATACCCCCGAGACACTCCGCCTTTTAACGGTATAGCTGTCTATACTGATGGGTCAAAGATGGAAAGTGGGACGGGAGCTGGAGTTTACTGTGAATGTCTAAGTATCCAAAAATCCTTCAAACTAAACAACGACTGTAGCGTTTTCAGGCAGAAATCGTTGCTGTCAGGAAGGCCATAGAGCTGCTGGCAAATAGAATCAATGAACTGGATGGTCCGGTAGCTATATATGTCGATAGTCAAGCGGCCCTGAAGGCTCTAAATTCATTTACAATCAAATCTATGGCAGTTCTGGAATGCAGGAATGCTCTGGAAAAGGTAATGTCGTTTGTCAAACTCTGTTGGCTCCCTGGACACTGCAACATATTTGGCAATGAATTGGCCAGACGCGGATCTGAGTCAGTAGATCTAGAGATTGAGAATTCAGTGAATCCACCCTTATGCCACTTCTTCCAAGTACTGCATAAGCACTATCTTAGGAGATTTCAACAGAACTGGCTAACTGGCAGGGGATGTAATGTCTTCAAAAAGTTTTGGCCGGTGAACTCCGAAAGGAGATCAAGGTCACTCTTATCCATGACAAAGCTGGACTTGAAGCTTGTGGTGGGCCTAATTACAGGACACTGCAACATAAAAGCCATGACACACTAATGAGGGGTGACGACACTGAATACTGCGGGCTTTGTCACGACGAGGAGGAAACTGAGACGGTGGAGCACTTATTCTGTCACTGCCCAACTCTTATAGGAGGACTGGTCCTCCCTCTCCGACATCGAGCCAGCGGTCATTCTTCAGTTAGCAAGAAGACCAAAATGGCTAAGGACGACACGATGATTACACCGTGGATGCAAGCCTACTAGCTTGTCTACTCTTTATTCAGATTCTCGCTTCTTGACTATCCGTTATTCTTTTCCTTCTCTTTTGTTCTATTCTCATATCTTCTTTAAATTAGGATGAACACAATGGACCAATAGGTCTCCGAGTGGAGTAGTTGTTTATAGAACCGCGCATCCTTTAACGTAACCTAGCTACCCAAGACAACAGGTTACAGCCCGTAAAAGTAGCCAAATTTTTGGACCTGGAGTTAGAACCGAATTAGCAGAATTCGAACGAAACATGTCAAGCTGTTTCAAGGAACCTACTTTCAACAAACTTTTCTTTTCTGTTATTCTATTCTATATCTTCAATTAACCTAAAGATTTCCGAGTAAATAATGTTCGAGTATAGTTTGATGAGCAGACTATAAACATACCTGGATTTTATAGCATTGATTTCGCTGTCATTTCTACTACAGAGTAATCCTTTAGAAGATATAGCCCTTTGCATAAGAGATGCTTGTTTTTTGCCATATTTCGAAATTGTTAGAGTGCAGTGATTGTTCCCTGCAAAATACAACATGAAACATATAAAAGTATGTATAATATGGAAATACTTGCCACCAAAATAACTACGAATGTCGTGGGGAATTTTGTCAGTACAATTATTTACATAATCGCTGCCATATGGAATATTTTGCAAGTTATATAAGGAACAGAGACAACCCAACACGGCTCGTGGCCCATTTACCAGGTTTATCAAATAAGATTCAAATCCATACCGTCTATAAAAAGAAAAGACAATTATATATATCCATATTGATATTGTATGCATTATATTACCGTATTTCTTCGATAGGCACTTTCGGTGTAAATGAGGATTCCGAAGGAGGTGGCGCATGACAAATACTTACTTCTAACTTCTTTTTCGAGCACAATTCTGTTGCAAGTACAGATAGATCCGCTGCACTTTCACATGAAAATGCCAACAGATCTCTAATTTTAATGATGTTCTCCAAATATTTTGCATGCTTTTCATCTATTACTGTCAACTAAAAAGATCCAAAAAATGATATATTTTATTGTTTACTAATTTTTAAGTAAATATAAGGTGGTTTATAGTCAGATGAAAGAATTAATCTGGGAAAATTCTCACAACTTAAATTATTGTTAAACTTTCTTTTCAAGAGATAAAACTCATTCACAAAATTATTGTTTGCTTCGAGCCGACCTTCGACCATGCATTTATTTTCATTTCAGTGGATATTTCCGTGACTTGTGTGGATCAGTTTCATGGGTTTATTGATTATAATGCTGATGATCAGAATGATTTGTGCGATGCTACTTCGTCCTTTAATTTATCTCCAATAAATTCGAATAATGTTAACGAGCTTTCTATGTTTCCGGTTAAAAGAAGGCAACTTTTCTGAAATAAGGATAATGACTGGTATTTGTCCTCAGACATCTCTTACTATGCATCAATTAGAGATATTGCGTTTAAGCAGTATATGATTACAAGAAGTCAAGATGATTGGAGAAATTTCTGTAAAGCCAGGAATAAAGCAAAAGCTGTTGTACGTAAGGCTAAAAGTGTTGCTCATGCGTCACTGTTTGAAGATCTTCGAAGCAGTAAAGACCTCTGCTTAGAATCAACTTGATAGTCGTTATACAATGCATGACTTCCGGAGTAATGGTGATGATGTTGGTGGTTTTAGTTTTCGTTGTGTTGATGCTGCAGAATTGGAGAGAGCGTTTGTCGCAATTAAGCCCAATGCAATAGGTTTGGATGGGGTTTCTTTGAAATTTTTGAAAGTTGTTTTTCCCTTGCTTTCCTCCCAATTTCCTCCCTGGAAATTAGCAAAAAATTTCCAGTTAAGAAGGAGAAGAAATGTTGGTGGATTGCAAGAATTTCGTCAGATATCTATACTACCCATATGTTCCAAAGTTGTTGAGCATATTTTGAAGTCGCAAATTTTGCTTCATTTGCAACAATTTGCTATATGATGCGCAGTGTGATTTTAGGAAAAAATAGAAGTACGTCATCTCTTTTACTTGGATTGACTGACAGCATTCGAACCAAATTTTGTATTTCCAGGTTCTGTGTCCTGCTGTCGCTTGACTTGGAGAAGGCATTTGACCGTGTAGATAATATTAAGCTAGTGCGCAAATTGCATTTGCTGTATGGGTTTTCGGTCACTGCATGTTCACTTGTATCTTCCTACTTGTCTGATAGGAAACACAGGTTATGCTAATAATAATGTTAGCTCTATTTTGCCAGTGAGAAGTGGGATTCCTCAGGGGTCGGTGTTGGGTCCTCTTCTATTCATATTGTTTCTTGACGTTTAATAATAGAGTCGTGTCTGTTGTGTATAACAATATAAATATTGAGTTTGCTTCTGAACTGTTGTGTTTGGGGTTTCTCCTTGAAGTATGGTGGTATCTCAGATGAATTTTTCCTTGCGTGGTTTGTACTCCACTTGGCTTTACCTTTTTCTGTTAGAAAACGTTTGGTCCATGCTTTAGTTTTGCCATTGTTTCTTTATTGTTTGGAGGTGTACTCAGGTACATGTTTGAGTAATATGCATCTAATTCAACTGGCTGTCAAACGTTTTGTTCGCTTTGTGTTTAGGTTGAATACCCGTGTTCATATCACACCGTATGTGATTAAATTCTTTGGGTGCTCTTTTAGATCATATGTAGATAGACGTTTGCTGCTTAGCTTTTTCAAAGTTATTAAGAATCAGTGTCCTTTATTTTTGGTCTTGAAATTTATTATTTCCTTATTAAAAAAAGAATTAAGAAAAATGAGATCATGGAAAAAACTATTAAATATAAAAAGGTATTCATGAAAATTCATTCTGAAAGTGCACCGATAATTAGAAAAGTAAAAGAAATATTCATTAAAAATCCAGTACTATAGATGTAAGAGACCTTAAAAATATACTGAAAAAACTACGATTATTGCTAGATGGCAATACAGGAAAGACGCAGATTATGGCACAAGAGCTAAAAACATATCATCAGTCAAAATGACGAACAAGTCTCTTAAAGAAAGTGCTTGGGGTAACACTGAAATCTTTTTTTACTGGTAAAGCATTGTACAAACGCGCAACACGAACATGCGAACAATACGTTTGACAGCCAGTTGAATTAGATGCATATTACTCAAACTTGTACCTGAGTACAACTCCTAACAATAAAGAAACGATGGCAAAACTAAAGCATGGACCAAACGCTTCCTAACAGAAAAAGGTAAAGCAAAGTGAAAAACAGACCACGCATGGAAAAATGCATCTGAGATACCGCCATACTTCAAGAAGAAACCCCAAACACAAGAGCTCAGAAGCAAACTCAATATTTATATTGTTATACACAATAGACACGTCTCTATTATTAAACGTGGCGAATAAAAGCGCCTTAGTCTTTGCCAAAATTGGCTCGAATGCTGTCAGTCAATCTAAGTAAAAGACATGACGTAATTTTATTTTTTCCTAAAGCCACACTGCTCATCATATAGCAAATTGTTGCAAATGAAGCAAAATTTGCGATTTCAAAATATGCTCAACAACTTTGGAACATATGGGTAGTATAGATATCTGACGAAATTCTTGCAACCACCAACATTTTTCTTCTTAACTGGAATAATTTTTGCTAATTTCCAGGCTTCAGGAAAAGCCGAAGTTGTTAATATGGAATTAACCAAGCTAAGAAATTGGAAGGAAAGCAAGGGAAAAACAACTTTCGAAAATTTCAAAGAAAACTCAACCAAACCCGTTGCATTGGACTTAATTGCGACAAACGCTCTCTCCAATTCTGCAGCATCAACACAGCGAAGACTAAAACCACCAACATCATCACCAATACTCCGGAAGTCATGCACTGTATAACAACACTTTTAGCCTTACGTACAACAGATTTTGCTTTATTCCTTGCTTTACAGAAATTTCTCCCATCATCTTGACTTTTTGTAATCATATACTGCTTAAACGCAATATCTCTAATTGATGCATAGTAAGAGATGTCTGAGGACAAATACCAGTCATTATCCTTATTTCAGAAAAGTTGCCTTCTTTTAACCGGAAACATAGAAAGCAACAGATTGAAACATGAAAATAAACATGCCCACTGCTCGTTGACATTACTCGAGTTTATTGGAGAAAAATTAAAGGACGAAATTGCATCGCACAAATCATTCTGATCAACAGCATTATAATCAATAAACTCATGAAACTGATCCACGCAAGTCACGGAAATATCCACTGAAATGAAAATAAATGCATGGTCCGAGACGCCAGGGCAAAAAAAAAATGATTGGAAAAAACAACAGATTCATAATTACTAAGAGCGAAAAAGTCCAAGAGTGAAGTAGAGCTGTGCACAGCACTAAAATGAGTTGGGAGCATATTGTGCCTTATGGCCACACCAAGTCTACTGCAGGAATTCTTTACCCTAACCGAAGAATCAATCGAAACGAGATCATTGTTGAAGTCACCCATAATAATGACATCAGAATACCGAACCACCATATCACTAACATCACGCTCAAAAGCCTCACCAACAAGTATCTTCCCTACCAAGCATCAATTCCACAAATAAACTTTCAGCAATCCCATACTAACTGCTTTTAAGCACTACTTTCTACTGCCCTCGAAACAAATAAAGCCACCCCACCACCTCTCTGAATAGAGCGATCATTTCGACAACATTTATAGCTCGATAGCTCAACCCTTTTTGAGGGAACCTACGGCTTAAGCCATGTTTCGCTTACCCCTATCAGGTGTAAATGACTATTTTCACAAATATTTTTCACTTCACACAACTTAGCAGATCTTGAAGTGAGATTAAAACTACGGCAATTAAAGTGGCCAACATTCAAATTATCACTTAGTGCTCTCAAAGATGAACGTAACAAATATTATCTGAACAATTTGTCCTAAATTACTAGAGACCATTAAAAAACATTAAGCCGCAAAAAATAAGTATTTTGAAAAAGAAATTTATGATATATTAAATGAAACTTACATAGGTCATTGATGCCTACCATAACAACATACGAAATTTACGAAATGGCTGTGTGCAAGCAGCAATTGCAAAAAAAAAAAAAAAATAAATAAAACAATCTAAAAATGACTACTGAAAATAACAGACAAAAATGACATGTTGTTTGTGAAATTAGTATATACAATATTAGTGGAATCGCTGATGAACCAGCAACATTGACTTCCACATCAAGCTGCCGAGAAACAGGAGAATGAACCTCGACCGACACACTCTGACTTTCATCACAGCCAAAAAAAAAAAACACATTGAGCCGCATAAAAGGTTTTAACATAACCATTCGGGAGAGTAATTCTGACTCTTGGAATGTCATTGTTAACCAGTACATATTACAGAATCTTCTTTCTTTCTCGTAGCCTACGACATTTAAAAACAAGCTTGGCAGCCGGAGAAGTAAGGCGATATGAGTATTGACCACATCATTCAATGCAATATAGCTCACCTTTTGGTATTTTGACATAATTACATCTCTCATGTGAACAGAAGTGATTTTTACAAGGACTGTTTTTCCACCAAAAATGTAGCAAGAGTGCTGAATATCGCTTAGGTTAAGCTCCACATTGCAAAGCCTCGCAATCGTCATAACAGACAGATTGCGTATAGCCATCGGCAACCCATTTATTAAAATATCGGCCCGATTCAAACGCCTTTGGCGTATAAGACTCTCACGCTCCACTTCCGACATTTTCTTTTTTATGTCACTTAGTTCATTTTGCATTCGATCCACATTTGTTTGACAGACCAAAATATCCGCACTAAGCCTGCGACAAGTATCAATAAACTCCGACGTCACCCATCACCCTATGGACCATAGCCACATATTCCACCATACATTGGTCGAACCGCTCATTAAGTTGTTGCCTTACAAATAGAGCAAAGTCATCCACATATTGTCTGATTTGCACATCAAAAGCCTCTCTCATCGACACTTGTAGCCTTTCGAACAACATCTCAAAAACAAATCCATTGGAATTTCCGGGCACAGATTCAGTAC